GACTCAAATCGACGTTAAGTAAGAAATCCTGGAAATGTTCAGATGTTACACGAAAACGCCCGGTTGGCGGACAAAAAGACTCGAGAAAGAGAACAAGCTCGGGGCAGAAATAGCGAAAGCTGCGCATATCTAAAATATTAAGATTCGCGGGAAGGGAGGGAGGAAGAGCGCTTCTCGTGGATGTTGAGCAGCCGGAAGTGTTGCACTTGACACACCCCTTCGGAGCTCGCAGGGGGTAAGAATCATCGCGCAGCTTTTTGCCCCAGAGTCTCGCGACTTCAATTCCTTTCTTTTCCAGAAGAGGTTCAAGGGAAGTCCATCTCGGGGACAGGGAGGAAAAGGAGATTTCAGAGGTACGAACGAGTCCCCTCGCACCCGGGGAACATGGCTGAAAAATAGGGTTTGTTTACGGGAGGTACACGGAAAAGCAACCGGAAATGGGGGAGGAAAAAATCGAAATCGGTGGGGAAGGAAAACAGGACCCTATGGGAGGTTTCGAGGGAATAAATCCTCTTTCCTGGGTCCGGGTTAAATTTCATTGCCACTCTCGGCTCGCCTCGTAGATGGGAGCCGCGGAGGTGGCGCGAATTGCGTGATTTTGCCCTTTTAATATTATTTTTACCGATAAGACCCGCGAGGTTCTCGGCCCAGTTTTTAGTGTTCTAGATACGGCGCACTCGGGAGAGGCGAGGTGCATTTATTGAACTGAAATAGCAAAAAAAGGCGAGAGGACAAAAATAAATCCAGCATATTGAGACCCTCGAGAAACAAAGGAGGAAGGAACGCTTTTCGCGAATGTCGGGCAGCCGTAAGTGTCGTACTTGACACAACCCCTTCGGTACTTGAAGAGAAGGAGGGATCGTGGCGGGTTTTTTCTCCCGAGGAGAGGAAACTGGGCTTTAACTCCTTTCTCGTCGGGGAGAAATCCGAAGGAATTCCGTCCCGGAGAGATTCCGCTCCAAAGATACTCCCTCCGAGGGAAAAAAAGTTTGATGCCAGGAAGGCGAACGACACCGTTATCGTCCTCATAAAACTCATAAAAAAGTTCCCCTCGCGCTTTAAAGTCTCATTCCTAAAGGAACAAGAAGAATTTTTGCGCATTTCAAACAATAGAGTCGGTGAAAAATAAAAGTTAATGTACCAAAAGTTAATCAGTTCTAATTCACTCATCCGGAGGTAACCGACGAGTTCGGTGAATCCTTACATAACTCGGTTACCTCTTATTAAAGTATAAAAACGTTACGAAACCTTCGACGACTAAAAATTACCATTTATGTCACGCGATATTTCAGCATGAAAATTTAAAAATATTCAGTAATATCGAGATGGAAAAATACTCCTAACAAATGTACGGAAAGTCTTTAGATTTAATCGTTCATGCGATGAGAAAGTGAGATCTATCGAACCAAATAAACATTTCATTGAATAGTGCCACAGAAATATTTCGTTAATTTAAAGAATGATTATTTGACTGAAATAAACTCAAATAAATTGTCATCATGCGGAAGAAACGTTGCGTCGAATTTGTTCGCGTTTATTCGAGTCAAATAATTATTCTTTGAATTAACAAAATATTTCCTCGATGCTATTCGAAGAAATGCTTTTCTGGTTCAAAGAGATTTTTTCTTCATTCTCAGGGTATTAGTAGGAAATAACAGATACGTATTGCAGATACGATGGATAAAATTGACATTCATCGAGTTTAAGATGATATGAAAGGTGCTGAGAAATTTAATCGACGTCGATAAAATAAAATCACCTTAAGGTGATATGAAATTATGATATATACATAACAAAAAGTCAAAATATTTCTAAAACTTTTCTCCAAACTGGGTGCACCGAATTATCTGAAACTTTAACACGTGATTGTGGAGGCTCTAAGGAATAACGCGCTGCTCATAAAATTTCTTTCCGAAAAAAATGTACTTATCTCGGTCGAGAACTAAAGAAAATTTTTTTTCTTTCGAAATATGAAATTTCAAGAGCAGCGCGTTCTTCCTTAGAGCCTCCATGATCACGTGTTAAAGTTTTCGATAATTTGGTGCACCCAGTTTGGAGAAAAGTTTTCTAAATATCTCGGCTTTTTGGTATGCATATATCACACTTTCATATCACCTTATGAAGCAAAATTGACTCGAAGCAGCTTCTCGCGTCAAAGGACCGATCCCATAACGAAGCTTTCGCGATCGTCTCGAGCTGTCCTCTCGTCCATGGTAGATGCGAATGAAATCCTTCCACGGATGAACTTACGGCCAGATCTCGGATCCCGAGGGAGGGAAGAAAGTTCGACCGAAGAAAGGCGAAGCGAGTAAATTCAGCGGAAGCAACGAGAGGCTGCGACATTCGCGACAGTTTTATCGCGCTGGACCAATGCAGGCGGAGCGCGAGAAGAGAGACAGGTCGCGATAGAGGAAGAGAAGGAGGGAAAAACCAGGAAGGGTGAAGCAAAGAGGGCGTAAGGAAGCGGGACAGTAATTTTCCAAAAAGTCTTCCCTTCCCTTAGGTGGGCACGCTTTGCATCTTTCCGAGCAGTCTGGCCTTTTGAAGCCCACCCGGAGACTCGGCCTCTGCTCTTCTTTCGACGAACAAAAGTCCCCGGCGCGTCCTCCCAAAGACGCAAAAGGGGAACTCCTGGCCAAGTTAAATTAAGAGTCGAGTTTCAATTAGTGCGATAAGCAAGGAGTAGCGGAAACTTGGGGACTCTTCGACTATCTTCCCTGAGGAGCGTCTTCAGGGCGTGGCCATCGACGAGGACCCTCGAGACGAAGGAATCGAACGAACGTTTCCAGATATTTTCAAAATGCCCCGAGGAAACATTGCACAAGAAAATCCTAGGAATAGTTTGAACAAGGACAACATTTAAACACGGTCTCGATCCATGTCGTCCTGCTATAAGGCCACGATTAGGGAACTCGTATTGTCAGCCTGAATCGAATTTCGACGTATGTATCGCATGGGCGATACCTCCGAGTTAGAAATTAATTTCACTCGGGATGTTGTATTTTATTAGTTTATTTAACAGAACATTCGAAAGCTATTCGCGTCGACATCGCGGGTTGAACTCAAGTTGGCCTGGATTGATGAGGGTTTTAAAAATACTGATTTGAGGCCTCAGTGGGTAGAGAAAAGTTCATCGCAGAGAAAACCACGGATTGGACTGGGCGGCAAACATCTTGGACCTCCTTCTAATGTCAGATATATTTTCCATGTCGTCCCTCTGCCCTCTCTCCCAATTTGAATTTCTTGAGACATAACGTCCCGCAGGAGAGCCGTTGTAAATATTAATCTTTTTTTTTGTCTCTTTCTCTTTCGGGACTCAACAACGTAAATTCATTTTTAACCTTCCCCGATGCGTGGCTATTATTTGTTTAACCAATGATAGGGTAGAGCCATTAGACTCACGGTTAAAATGCCGTGGAATATGGCGATCAGGACGAACGAGTTCCTTGCCAAATGGTACCTCGAGGCGTCGCTCCGATCTTCCGGCAGTCCTTGGCCGAGGCTTGCGGGCACCTTTTCAAGGATATGAGGTGGGTTCGTAAGGTCTGCCCTCGTTTCGGTAATAGCCAATGATCGAACCCCATAACACGGCGGATCACGGGGAATATCCAAGGGCGACGTGCATCCTCTCGGGTGCATCGCTCCCCCGGCCTTAAATATCTCGTAGGACGAACAACGTGCATCGAGCCCGAGTATGAGGTACGTCGTGTATTACATGGACGTACTTTATGTAGGTACGGCCTCGCATATATGTACGGAATATAAGGAAAATGTGGCTGCCACGTTGGTTAGATATAAATGCAGCCGCATATCCCCGGGACCGTGGTCTTAAGCCCGGAAAAGTGAAAACCATGGACAGCCCTCCGAAAACCTGACCGCCTTCCCCCACGTCCATAAACTCGGCCAAGTTATGCGGATACTTCTTACCGAAATGAAGATTACTTTATAAAGAAACACTCCGGAAATTCGCAGCAGCCCCTATCTCATGGAGGGTTTAATAAAGTGCCATCGTTTACGAGATGCCGGTATTTTATTCCCGAAGGGCCTCGGGGAATTCATCGCAACTCGTGATCAAAAAATGCTTTAATAACCGTTCGATTTCGTCCGCCCGATAGATATCAATTTATATAAATTGATGAATATATCGAAAGCGTGTAGGGTGCATGTTGTGTCAAAGGATGATGAATTGCCTTTTTTTGCCCATTGAAGTGGTCATGGGTTGACACGGTACAATTTAAAATTTCCACCCACGCTTTTCTCCTCGCGCGCGATTGCTGTTCTTCTTCAAAAATGGAGGAAAATGGTTCGGCGTTGGGGAAACGATTAAATGGCAACCCTTACAATTTTAATTGCGGTCGAATCGTTTCCACAATTTACCAGAAAAGTATTCCCATGGAATTCCTGCCTGGCAGCAAATTCATCTCCAGAAATGACGAAAGCTCTTCTCGAGCTTTCAGCGCGAGCATCTCAAAACCTAATGGTACCTAAATTGTTAAAGTGATCGTTACACGCTCACTTTAAAGTCACTAACAGCTGGAAACTTGGGGGCCGGGAGGTATTTCTACACTTAATAGCTTTTCATTGTTGCACAAGAAAATAGGGGGTGATTCAATTTACATATTTCCTGTACCTGACGTTATTACACGTTATGTATGAAACGGGAGGTGAACCATTTACATATTTTCCCTTCCGGAGGTATATTACACATTATTTAGAAAAAATGAAGAAACTTCGAGGGCTTACTTTGAACCCGATGGATACGTTTAGAAGAAAGGTTGCCTTTGCAATTCCTGTCCCACGTGGCTTGCGAGAGTTCCTATATTTTTTGCACTTTCTTGAATTTCTGCAGTTCTACTCGAGGGTTCATATGTGTAGAGATACGGCGAGGTCGCTCTGTCTTGGCTGCCACTCAACGAAAAGCGTTTCGACATAGTTGCATTTCGCGATCCGGCTTGCTTGCCGTTAACTGTGCCAAGTCCGCCTTGTAAAAACGTGTTCCGTCAGCAAATGTGACTGGTGGGACAATTGCTTGTGCCGGTACTTGCCGGTACTCTCGCATTCCAAATAACCTAGGGAATTGTTAAACAAGAGTAGTTGAAACATATATGTACAGTAGGCACCCCCACATCGGAAATATGAAATGAAACCTATTGGAGAATTTAGTGCTTTTTTAGTGCTACAACCTCAATTTTAGTGATCCACCCCTTACACCGAAAATCGGTGGTGGTTCTGAGTAAATGTTCACTCAACACCCCCACAGTGCATACTACGTTAAGGGAAAGATTCACGAAAAAAAAACGAGTATGCAGCATTTTGGTGCTTTGGTGCGAAACAATTTGTCGACAATTTAGAACACTCTAGTAATCGATGAACTCGCATCAGAACGGGATAAGGGCAAAAGAAAGTGTTGTCTACGCTTCTATGCTAAAACGATGGGAACACGAGGTCTCGGAGTGAAAATTTAATTGACCTGGAAATCACAGATGGCGCAGGGGGTCTCTCTGCAGTCAATTAGGGCCCCAGAAAGCACGAATCCAGAGGATTTCTGGAGTTTAACTTCGATTTCTTTATAATTATTGTAGAAAAACGACAGGTGGAGTATGCCATTTGGTACAATACCCAATATAATTCGACATAGCTGTGGATATAAAAACGAACGTCGGCAACGTAGGCATTTAGAAAAGTCTTCTTTATCGATGTTGATCAAGTTCCTCGACGTGTTTCACTTCACCTTAAGGCCCCGTTAAGGCAAAATGCCGGAATACTCGCGAGGGACCTGGCAAGATCGACGAAACCGGGGGCGCTTAAAGGGAAACATAAATCGAATAATAATTCCGAGGGGAGGGCGGCGCCCTAAGCTCCATCCGAATGCGCCACTGGGGGGCCTTTTCGACCGGGCGGATTTATCAGAGGGGGTTTCTCCGACCCCATAATCAGGGCGGCCTTTAACAGGCGCCGCCACACCTTTGAGCTTTCAGACGGGCGGATTTTTCCGGATGGCAGGGCCCGCTGCGGCCGATAACACAGGGATAAAATCGCCCACGCGAAAGCCCTCCTCTTGGCGGGAAGTGCGTGCGAAAGGATGCGGAAAATAAACACTTTGTTAAGCGCCCCCGAAACCGCCCGGCTGAATTCGCAATTTTCTTCGCCAAACGACGCGATCGTATTTCAGGGCTAACCTCGAGCAAAAGCCGGTACAAAAATCAGGGAAAATTGTAATCCTTCGAAAACGGCCTTTTAATACATCAAAGTACAAGATGTGAACGATAATACACGATCACCGCACATTAGATGTCATTTTAGCAATCGCCCGCAAACAAGTGAATTATGTAAGAAAGTAGAAATTGTGCAGTTGGAAGCATTTAATATCTAACTATGTGCTTAAATTCTAGCGTATAACTGCAATTTCTGGGGAAATATCGAAAACTGCATAGTTACTATCCCCGTATCTATGCGCAATCCCTGGCGCAATGATTCGCTAATAGGAAACGCACACACAGCGTACCTCCGTTACTTTGAGCCGTAGTCGTCGGTAGTTGGAACCGCGCACAGGGCTCCATTATAATCCACTTTATGAAATGTAGTTAGTAAAATCTTAATGACTCATCTTGGCACATCCGCCCGAACACCCCACCCCGCCAGCGGCCCACTCGCCTACATTTTGTCGTAACAAATAAAATATATCACCGGAAGTATTATGGACGTCCACCGTGGGCCATTATAACCAGATACACCGGGTTAAGGGCGCAGCCGATGGACCATGCAGAAAATTCGATGGCGGTCGTGGATGGTTAAATACGGTCGTAACCGCGGTTTAAGAGTGACTCGGTGGATAATCGACGCGATCCCTCGGTCATATCTGCGCCGACCACAAAGAGCAGATCCCGCTCCTCCCTTTAAATATCGAACGACTTCGTCCTCTCCGCCTTAAGACATGAAAGGCGCTGAGAAATTTAATCAGGCTCGATAAATTAAAATTCATCTATACCCATTTTATTGGCAACGTCATTTTGAACACTCAGATGGGAACATAAGCTGGCGCGTCATGTTACAGACATTTATATTTATGTTGAAGTCTTTTACAGTCTATGTTGAGAATTATACGAACTGAAGCATTCTATATGTCATTTCGGTAAAGTAATGATGAAGACATCGATGTAAAACTGTCGAAATCTCGTGAATTCATTATTTTAACGACTGTTTAGGACCAACGTCGCCATCTTTGACGTTTAGCTGCAACTAAATTTTTGCTCTAAAAACACGTGTTAACCCGAGACAAGCTAACATTCTCTTGCAATCGTTGGCGAAAGTATTTTCCATATTTTCCAATCTGACTTTGTAATATGACATTTCTTTGGTATTCTAAATGGTTCGAGCTAGGTCCTGAAACTCTTCCTTTTGGATTCTAAGCCTCCAAGAAGCGTAAAACATCGAAAACGTACATGATAAGTAGATTAATTTTTGACGAAAAATGAAATTTCGTCAGTTCCAGGACCTACTTTAGGGACTCCATATTCTCGTGGTAAATTTGGAAACGAATCGGTACATCCAATTCGGAGAATACTTTCCCCAACGATTTGACCTCTCAGATATATATGGGCTTACTCTTTCATGTCACCTTAACATTTTTCAAAACGAGTTGTTTCACCAAATATTTACCCACCCTCTGTTCCGCGTGAAGCATCGCCGGCGCTTTTTAGAAGCCCGAATCGGAGTGCACTGCAAGCACTTACTGATTTGTAGAAGCGCGGTTAAATCCAGAAATTTCATTCAATGAAACGTTTCGCAGCATCCATTTAAGCGAAACGCAGCGCGTTTTAATCAGCGAGAAAATTAAGTTACAGCCGGGTTTCACGGAAGATGTGTTGAAAAGCGACGCAGGTAATTTCCTGGGAGCCCAGATAGGTGGCTTTATCAGGACAAACTGTCGCCGATAACGTCACCGATGGTGGGATCGTCCCTTTGGGTGGATATTTTGGAGCAGCCTCGTTCTTCGGGTCCTTTGTCCGCGACTCTTGGACCGATCGAGCTAAGAAAGAACTTCCGCCTTGCATCCTCCTTTCGAAGTGGATTTTTGTCGTATAAAGATTATGTCGACATCAAAGGGGGTGCGCGGCACAAAGCAAGGGTTGCCGGTTCAAACGTACACGCGAATAAGAACCGGGGATACGTTAGCAGGGAACCGAGTAATGGCTGAAATGCATCGTACCGTTGATTCCCTTGGAGATTTCTTCTGTGTCGTTGATGCATTCGAGCCGAGAGCCGATCGAAAACACGTGAAAGATACTCGGCTGATGTGTTTCCCTTTTTAGGCTGGGCAGGAAACCTCTGTGGAAAATATGTTGCCCTCGAAGCTCCATTCCAAATGGATTTTTCCTGGGACAATAGTTGAAGGAAGTCCGTCATTTATTTATTTATTTTCTATTTATGAACGGTGCTCCTGTTTAACGCTGACTGACTATATGTACCATTGGCTCAGCAATTAAATGATTGCGGATTTTGTCGATAGATGGTATTAAAAAATCCGCAGTCACTTAGATGCCAACCCAAAAGAACGTAACTTTATGTCAAGATAAATGAAAGAAGTTCAATTATGGTGAAATCGAACCGTTGATTAATGGGCCTGAACCTCGAGAATTAATTGTTACTGTCAATTAGGGAATAAGATTTCATTTGGAAATAACAATTTCCTCTTGAGAAATTGGGGGAGTATCTTTTAAAGGAGATTGTGTCAATTCGTTCTGCTGACAATTACATGCAATATAAGTTCATAATTACTATTGCTCCAAAATTGAAATAGGGCCTTGTTCGGGGAGCTACGGGTATGCATTTCGAGGTGCAGTAATTGTGCACCTTCATCACCTGAGTTTTTTGGCCTCAATGCGGTAATGAGAATTAACGGGGAACTCGGATGCAACCAGGAGGGGGCGGAAAAAAATCAGTATTGGAAAAGCAATTCACCGAATTAAATGCACCCGTCCATTTTCGTCCTTTTCATCCCCACTGGCTGACCCTCCTTTTCCCTCTTTAACAAGGATAAACTTTGCCGCGTAGAGGATCGATCCTCGAAGTATGTTAAACTCACCAGATACAACGATATCAAAATATCGTTTATCACATTCCCTTATTTTCTTTCGGAGACGAAAATACACCGGGTCAACATTCGTGCTGACCAACGAGGACGAAGATCTTCCCGTTGAATTACCAAGATTTCCCGAAGTTCGGATTTACTTTTTCCGGGGGCACGAACTTCGCCACTTCGAGGCGATACTTCAAGAATCCCGAATTGGGCGGGATCAGAGAATTAGAAGTTCTTCCTGTCATTTTTCCAGATCCGCTGGTTTATTTTGGAAGCCCGAAATAAAGCAGACCAACTTTCGTGCTGACCACCGAGAGCGGAAGATTTTCACATTGAATTATCAGGACTCTCAGAAGTCCAGGAACGAGGTGGAGGGAGGACAGAGAATTGTTCTCGAAAAGGAGGGCACGGAACGCTTTCCCGGAGTACAGTCACAATTAAATTGGACTTGTGCCCGTGGCTTCAAATTCATGTCGACATAACAATCGTACACTTCTCGTCAACGCGAGTAAAGAACAAATTTCTCCCAGGAAGAAAAACGCCGTAACTTGCACCCCCCAGATCGCTTACTTTCGTTCCATTCTAAATACGTACACCTCATTAGTTAACAAAACTTCCCCCAGTAACCCAAATATCCAAGAAATACATTTACTTCGTAACAAAATCCCGCAAATCCATTCCAAACTAGAATTTCTCCATTTCGATTATTTATCCGAAAAATGCAACACTTTAAAAGGAGTGAAGCTAAAGAGACTTAGACTACTAAAACTAAAAGGTATTCTTCACTGCGCAACCGCGTCCTAAGCAGTTGTTAGAATATTTAATTCACGGGATTTCGACAGTTCTACATCGATCATTTTATCATTACTTTACCGAAATGACACTATGGAACACTTCAGTTCGCATAATTCTTAACATAAACTGTAAAAGACTTGAACATGAATATAAATGTCGGTAACGGGACGCGCTACCTTATGCTCCCACTTGAGT